TGTTAGATTTACTTTAACTTGTTGTGTCAGCTGGTTCTGTTGTTTAAATGCATAAAGTGTTAACTATTTGAAGTTCTTTATTACCAAATCGTTCAGAGATGGTAGATTCAAATGATTTTTTTTTAGTCCCCCAAAAGCACAAGGAGCAAAATAGATCAAATATCAATAAAAAGGTTGACATCAAGCTATAGGTGCAAGTTCAGAAAGCCCATTGGAGATCTTTATTCAATAATTAATCATTTTAAAGCAACATGCTCAGAATTGATGCAATTGGAAGTTTTTAGTTGCTTTAATACAATAAAATGTGCTTATTTTGACAAAAAAACAAAACAAATGTAACTTCTTAGTCTTGAGTCTGTGTTCTGTACACCACAGTGTGTTTATTGGCACATGTATGTACACGGGATTGTTTAAAACTCACTGACCTGATTTCCTGTCACATTACAAAAGAAGCAACTATCACCTCATGCGTTGCTGCTCTTTGATATTCCACATAGTTGACTGGTTGTTTTGTTGCCAGATAAAGCTAAATGCTGATTTTGGGGTCACATATAAAATGATGTTCAAAACAAAACAAAACTGAGTGAGTTTTTTCCACTTACCAAGACCGAATTTATACGTTTTACATATTCTGAAAAATTCAATATATAACATGGGGGGAAGAAATACTATAAACAGTTTGAGGCCATTTTTAGGGAGCTAAACATTGGAGACACCATGTTATTCTGTTACATAAATCTATAAAACTCCATGCCAACTTGAATATGAGTTTAGAAGACAATTTAAATTTTGTCTCCAGAAAAAGTCTGAAGGAACTCCAACATGAAATGTCACATTTTATGTCACGAAACAGCTTGGCAGGGACCCTACTTGTCAAAATAAGTACGTGAAAGTAAACAATCAAGTTATATAGCCACAGTTGCACATTTAAGATCATAAACATTTCCATTAGACAATCCTATCCTCAGAGGTCTGTAGAGAAGAGATATTTAAGATAAGATAAGATATGATAAGATAGAACTTTCTTTAGGTCTAATTGGCAGGAGCTTAATAGTAATAGTAATGATAATTTTAAAAAATGTTAAGGGTTAAAAAGGGTTCATTCAACCTCAATGTAAAACAGAAAGCTAAATTACACAGAATAATTAAACAATCAAGCGCAATAACTGACTCACCGCAGTGCTCCATGTCAGACATCTACAGCCACTCAGTGACCAAGAAAGCCACCCTGATCACCAAGGACCCCTTACATCCGCTACACAACTGCTTCCAAATGCTTCCATCAAACAAGCGTTACAAAGTCCTGCTGGCCAGGAAGAATATTTATAAGAAATCATTTGTACCATCTGCAATAATGTTCTTGAATAAAGCTAAGTAGACACGTCTTAATGGTGGTAACTAATGGAGATAATGTGGCTTTATGATGTTCTATTGTTGGTTCTTGTGTGGGTTTGATGAATGTAGAGTGTGTCAAAGGAGAATTTCTGCCACATATGTGGTAGACAGTAAAGTTTTATCTTATCTTACCTTACCACCCCACCACCACCCAAAAAACAAACAAACAAAAAAACTGTACTTCTGTTCTGAAGCTGAAGGTGTGTCGCTTCTCATCCGGGAGGCTTTAGCAATAAAAAACAAATGATTCAAGTCATTTTTGAAGTGATAAATCCTGCACCAGTAAAACGACAACAACAACAACAACAACAACAACAACAACAACAACAACAACAAC